TTTCCTATGATTTAAGAAAAAATATGTATAATGTAAAATTTGGACCGCTATATTTTTATTGATTCTCTTTACGGAGTAGGGCGAGGTTTCGTAACCGAGTTCCGGTTTAATAAAAATAACTTGTAAACGGTGGTCGTAGAGTCAACGTACTATGACAGATCGGTTGAGATCGAAATGGCAGGCGTTGATGGGTTTCGTTGGTTAAAAATCTTCTTAGGTGCGTCAGCGGATGCCGTTGCCCGTTGAGGTACTGGAAGATAGCATGGCCACCTATGGAATGGAATACGTGAAGTGGAGGTACTTATTGTTTGGTATTTCCTCCTGTGGAATAGTTATCAAACGCCCAGTCTCTTAAATGTTGGTAAAGCACACGTAATTAATGTCTTGCTAGCTATTAAAAAAACTACGACCTATTTATCTCATTCATAATACAAATACCAAGAAAAGAATTAACATTTTCCTTCATAACTTATATATATTACTAGCTGACCCGGCAAACGTTGTTTTGCCATATAAATTAGATGTAGGGTAGAAAAAAATGTTTGGGGTGGACCACCCTTAAAATTTAGGGGGATGAAAAATAGATGTTATCCGATTCACCACCCTGGCCGATATGCACACATTCACAATTTCATGAAAATCGGTCGAGCCGTTTCGAAGGAGTTCAATTACAAAACACCGTGACACGAGAATTTTATATATTAGATTATCAAAATGTCCGTATGTAATAACATTCACGTCTCACATACATACGCAATGGTGCAATTTAAACGATATTTATTTCAAAGTGGCTCTTAATGTGATCCCACGATTAGATAAAACGTTAATTAGATGTGGACATTCTAATGACTCCGTGTCATGTACTAGAATCTTGCCAAGTTTCTATAACTGATAGACCCGCAAAAATGATAACAATGTTTGCCCCATAACGTAAATATTATTACCGAATATAGGGACTGACCCAATTAAAATTAGGAAAACAATTGACAGCATTATTCAATTTTTTTTCTATTACTAGTTGTTATACTTTTTTATTGAGGAATATTATGTTTTATACCAATAATCTCGTTAAAAACTAATACTTTACTTATTTTTACAGAATACCAGAAACCAAAGGGACTACGCTCAGTTATTTCTAAATAAAGCTAATTAACAGATTTTTGCGCATTTAATTACGATTTTATTTCCTGACGTTTCGAACTCTACAGAGTCCAATGTCACATGTGATTTTTACGTCATAATGTTATAGTTAGTAGACTTACCATAACCTCTTTTTGATAATTCATATTGTGCTAATTATTTCATTACGGCTAGCGTGTAAATTGGACAATTTCATATTGTCCTATTTACACTGTAGGAGCTTACAGTGTCTTGAAGTCTTACAGTATTAGTGTGATGTATATTTAACACAGCATTTACTATTGTTAAACAAATATTTTCTTAACGTGCTAGTCATTCGTAATTTAAAAAAAAACTTGATCAAAAAGTGAAAAATGGCCCATACAAATCAATATCTAAATGTTGAATCTCACCGCCATCCTTCACAATTAGCTGCCAATATAGTTTACAGTATTTGCGTAAACACAATAAATCGTAATGCTCATCTGTTATCGTGTACTTTCATTTTTCTGGTACAAATTAGTTCAGTAGAAATACTTACATATTGAAAATCAAGAAAAGATGAAGAATATAATATTTATTATTTGTGATACAAACATAATATGGAAGTCAACTCACGTTTGTTTTAATATTTCGCGAGAATAAAACAGAGAGATATAGTAAATATAGTGTCTTTGCAGAGAAGTACGAAATACGAAAAAAAAAACTTGAGCATTCTTTGTTGCGTAGTTTATGGCTCATAAGTAAGACCACTGCAATATTGCCATCAACAATAGTTATAACTTTGTATATAGATACACATTATATAAAACTATTTCTTATATTAGTTGGTTTTATAATCTGTGCAAGTCTTGTAGAATGTGAACACATATTAAAAAACATCCTTTTTTAATAAAATTTTATAAATTCAAGACCAAATTAGACAAATTTTAATAACGATAACAATATCTGTTTCATGACAAATTTTAGGTATTCAGATAACTTGGATATGGAAATTATTTATGCCTTACCTGACCACATTTGAGGTATCAAGTCATTCGAAAGAAGCTACACCCGCATCTGTAAGATTAAAATAGTGAATAGTTAAGATCCATTAAATATTGCCACCCAATAACTACTCGTACATTAAATTAACATGAAAATTAAATTTTGTTGAATGAAGTTGGTTTAAAGGAAATATATTTTAATATTGTTCGAGCCTATTTATGTGTGTACTTATGTACATATAGTATGTATATATGTCTCAGTTGCGGGAGCCACATAGGAAATATTATCTCAATATGTTGTCCGCGTAAAATTTAGAAAAAGTTAGTTTTTTTTAATGCAGTCTCATTTTTATATTTTATCTTGTTACTCTTTAATATACTTCAGTATTTGCGATGCTTAGACATAAACAAGTTTAGGGCACATGTCTAATCTATGAGTGACCAAAATTCTCACAAAATATTGTGGTAAAATCCTCTGCAAGATAGGGTTTAAAAATAGCAATATCATATCGCACCGCATCTCCCCGCTTCTTACAAATGGGAAAAGTTATAATATTTCAAAGAAATGACATTTGAAACTTATCTGGCAGCTTCTTTATGCCCGTTGTTTTACTATTGTTTGCGGAGATTGCTATTAATACTTTAAATATAACGGCGATTATGTAGCTGCTTGATAAATAGTCAACCATAGTCTACTAATATTAGGAGGGAGTTTTTTTTCTACCATGATGTAAGTTACACTTACATCATAGTAGAAAAAACTCCGAAAAATTTTAATTATGTGTCAAAACGTGACTTATCGGGCCCTGTGAAGAGTCCTCATCACTTTATTGATTATAGTCCTAGGCACGCTTAAGGGTGCTTAAGTTAACAGGAACCTCTAATATAAATGAAGTGTAAATTGTTTTACAAATTCAAAAATTGCTCAAAAACTGAAAAGCTGTCTTTCATTTACAAACCGTACACTGCCATCCTTGATAGTTGCCAATAAAATGAGTTTACAAAAATCAACTTGTCTTATTGTTTATACCTACAACAGTTATGTTATTTTTATTGAGATAAACCAATTCCTCTAGCTAAAGTAAAAAAGTAAAAAAGTAAAGTAACAGCCTATACATGTCCCACTGCTGGGCAAAGGCCTCCTCTATACAGAGGGTATCAGGGCATAGTTCACCACGCGGCCCCACTTTGGCGGACTCACATATCTTCGAAATATTTTTTGTTATTATTTCGAAAATATGCAGGTTTCCTCACGATGTTTTCCTTCACCGCGGAGCACGTGATAAGTCAGCACTTAAAGTTAAAAACTTCATTGGTGCCGATCGAACTCGGGTTGCTCGAATTTATTGAATTAAAGGCGAGCGCCCGGACACTGAGCTATCACGGCTCGGCTAAAGCTAAAGTAAATAAAAGATAAATATGAAAATTTTTAAGTTCTTCTATTTAAGTGAGTATAATTCGATAGAATAATTATCTTATTCTATAATTTAAGCAGGAGCACTCATACAGTTACAGTATAATATGGTGACAATTATATGAAGTATCATCCTTACTAATATAACAAAGGCGAAACTTTGTATGTATGGATGGATGTTTGTTACTCTTTCACACAAAAACTACAGAATAGATTTCAATGAAACTTTACAATAATATAGCTTATACAAATTTAATAATACATAGACTATATATACAGATATTGTGTGAATTGTACAAAATATAGGTAATGCTAAGTGTCGACTAAGTAGTGTATAATAACAATCTCATTGTTTATTTCTTCTGGCTGCGCGGGTGAAGCCGCGGATAACAGCTAGTAAGAATTATAATGAAAAAGTTCTTAAATGTCTGTCCGCTTTCCGAAAAAGTTACCTTTTTTTTCTCTTTTCCCTCATCAATTACGAACATTTTATTGAGATCTACTTTAACTTGTATTTACCCTAAGATTTATTTAGGGAGTAGTTCCCTAAATGGTAGTTTATCTTAAGTGCTATTAAAAGTAAGTATCTGTGTTAATGTGTTGTAGTATTAGGTACTTTTCAATCTTGGTTAAGTTTTTAAGAAGGTAGCCCACGGTAAAGCGATTTTCCTGATGGTATTTGATCACCGTTGCCTAAGTGAAATTAGGAGCGTTTCTTTTAAAAAAGGCCTTTGAATGGTTATGATTAACCGTAAGAAGCAAAACAGTATAAGTATATACACATACTTCGATGCCGAACGACCAAACCGTGTATATGATGATTTATTACATAAAAATATTGTTTCCATATAGTTGCAATACGATACAATTTATAATTCAGAAATACACGTATCATTCTAAAATGTATGTAATAATATCAACAATACAATTGATGTGCAAAGTTTACAATAACGTTTTCTTGCCAAACCAATAATAATCATTAAAGCATGCATTACGAGTACTAGGATTGCAAATAGTTATTTTCCGATCTAGGAAATTGCCAGTTGTCAATTCCGGCCCACTAGCATATTTGTAAATCAATTAACACTTTTTCTACTAGACGAAAACTATGGCATGCGTCCAATGTTCAAGCGAAAATTAATTTGTTCGCAATAAATTAATGACGGCGAACATAAAACAAGAATTAGCGTTTCAGTCTGCTGTCCATATCAATCCGAATCGATGGCCACGTGTAAATAATTAATAACCGACATTAAAAGAAGTTTGTAGCTATCCCGACGCCAAGTTGATTGTGTTGCAGCTCGAAATGTAGGGAAAATCTGTCCCCAGGCGGATACGAGCCAACCTGTATGTCGGTAACAAACTCTGGCGACCAGTTGCTTGGTTCGTTCGGTGTAAAAGACGCGTTTCAGGTTCAAACGTTCTTTGCCACTACTGTATTGGGAGGTTTTATTCTTGAATAAAATAAACAGTGCTTTACAATGGTATAATGGTTTTGGTTTTGTTTCATTATCGTCAATTGTCATATCCATAGTCCTTACATTTTTTATTCTTTTTATTTCAGGAGGATCTTGATAAGGAACAAATCAACAGTAAGTATCAGTTTATTTATTTAATAACAATTTGTACAAACAATACATTATACATTGTGTTAAGAAATTATTTTGACATAAGTTATTCCATTCATTGAGTTCTTTACCGTTTTTAGATTATCGAAAAGTAATTTTTAAATTCTTGAAAAAGTTTCTAAACTCAATATGGACTAAGGTAGATATTCTTGGAAAACATCGATTAACTTTTAATACTGACATATTTTAGGTATATGTATTTAATTTTTGAAAGCTAGGCATTAATGAAAAGAAAGGTTTTGGTCAGTGATGGTGGGCACAATCCTGGAGAGGGTCATCAAGTAACTTTCATAAACGAAGTTGATTGGATTCAGATTTAAAATTAAAGAAAGCCTTTGAGGCATTCGATCATGAAAAGAAAGGTTGCATTGGTACAGTGATGGTGGGCACAATCCTAGGAATGCTTGGTCATCAAGTAACCGATGAAAGCCTTCAGGAGATCATCAACGAAGTTGATGTGGATGGTAAGATTTGAATAAAATCACAAAATTTCAGCATTCTATAAAATAACGGCCACTTTTTTTTTTCTAATCAATTTTTTTTATTTTTTGTCGATTTGGATAATATTCAATTAAAGTGACCTAATCGATTGCATATTTCATTACTCAGATTATATTAAATAATTTCCAAAATACATGATTTAATCATCTGAATCCAGGTACTATTCAATTAAAGTGACCTAATATTGAAAGATCAAGTGTGATGGTAAGACGTTTAAAAGAGTTAGAGCTAATAAGTTTTGGCCTTTATAAATGGTTGTTTACATTTTGGTAACATAACACTGTGCCCCACAAATATTGATGTAAAAATGGTCAAAGCATAGTGCTAATAATATCTCCCGACTTTAGCGTGTAATATTACAATTATAATTTTAATTTTTGTTTTTAAAATTTATCGTTTCAGGAAAATTGTTGATGCCACAACTAATATAAACAAAACCTGGTTAATTTTAAGGTTCTGGCGAGTTGGAATTTGAAGAATTTGTCACATTAGCATCAAGATTTATGGTGGAAGAAGACGCTGAAGCCATGCAGCAGGAGCTGAAAGAAGCATTCCGTTTATATGACAAAGAAGGTATTTGATAATAATCTTATAAATGTATCTTAAGTTCTTTTGTTTTGTCACCGAAAAAATCTCTGAAGGACACAAATAAAAATAAGGACAGAAAAGTAAAGGATTTCTTAAATAATACAGTACAATGTACGTGTAGTACATGCTAATGTACAATCCATCATTAATTAAAATGGTAAGTCAAGTATCCACTAGACAATATATTATAGAACAAAAATAATTTGAAACGACCCTGGTAAAATGAAAAATGGGAATGTCATTACATTTAGCATGGGTAAGTTAAGAAATTTCAAATGTGCCTTCACGGGATTTTGTCTGTTTCTTTTATTTGTATAAAACAAATAACAGATGGAAAACAACTGTTTTATTCTCATCAATGTTCATACATGTCAGGAATATCATGTTTCTATATGGCAGTCGAAAAGTTCTAAAAGTGTACGCATCGTGTTTTTTTCAATGCATTTTAAGGTAACGGCTATATCACAACAACGGTACTAAGAGAAATCCTGAGGGAACTAGATGACAAAATTAGTGCCGAAGAATTAGACATGATGATCGAGGAGATTGATTCGGATGGCTCTGGTACAGTTGATTTTGATGGTAAGTAAATAGAATGATAAATATATTGACTTCGTGATTTTACGCGAATATTATACGTATTAAATGAAACTAGTTTACGGATTTATTCGCTATATTTTTGTTTTCATTTGAAATTCCTGACGTTTTCAGCGTTCATGGTCACGGGACAGACTAAGTTGTTACACATCTCGATGTCTTAGTTAAACCCGGCTACCGTCAATTATTAAGAATCATGAACGCTGGAAAGGGTTCGAAACGTCGGGAATTTCAAATCAATAAAAACACGCGATAAAACTGTAAACTAGTTTTATTTAATAATGATATATATGTTCAAAATAATAAAACAAATACGAATATTAAAACTTTACAGCACGAGGTAGCTTTTAAATCAGAGATTCCTCTTTATTGTTAACGATTTTATTGTTAACATGCCAAGTAAAATTTTATTACAGAAAACTGGACCGTTACTGTGAGGGTCTGTACGCAATGGTGGCAATAAATGTTTAGAAAATAATAGCTGAAAGCTGTACCGACTGAAATATCTTGATTTAAAGAATACTATTCACCTAGTTTGGCCATTTTGTGTGATTAGTATAAACGCATTGAACTAGCAGCAATTATCAATGAAATCAATCTTAGCCGGCCAATGATGTTTTAATAAAATAGTTGACGCATGTCCATACTGCGCAGCGTTTAAAAACTGTTCCTTTATACATTAAATGACATGTATAAGTGAATGTGACAGACGATATAGAACGTATAATACGGAAAGAGATAGCAGTCTATAGAATTGCAATCTAATTACACTAATTTGCGTAAGTTTCGCTGCGCTAGTGTCATGTTTACTTCAACAGGAATGTGAAAACTTATCGATAAAAAAGCTCCCGTATCTTTATATGCATACAATGGTAGTATATACAAATAAGAGGTAGATATGACATCTATAGAATTACAACAATCGATGTAATTTGATTGCCTTAATTTTGGTGCGCTAGTCTCATGTGTATTTTATACAATATCCTAATTGGCGTCATCTATATTATTAATCATCAATGTATACATTTATCACAAATTAATAAATAAATATAATAGTTTTACAATAATAATTTACAGAATTTATGGAAGTCATGACAGGAGGTGATGATTAGAACGAGGAAGTGATCTTTTTCCAAAGCGAACCAAATTGTTACATCCAATATAACGTTCCGTATTTATTAATGTCAAACAAAAAAAAAATGTATTGTAGTAACTACAAATATAATATTTTAAACTAAGCATAGTTTTTATTTTTCGTATTTGATGCCCAAAATAAAACTTTCCCCATAAACCCGTGGGTTCTGGCTAGCCCACCGGTTCTGCGTCTGATGAAGCTTTAATAGTCTCGGGACTGAAAGCAAAAACATCAGTTAATACAAAGATAAAACTTTCCATTTCAGTGACATTCTAATACAAAAAGTAAACAGTAATGGCGACTGCCCACGGAAGTGAAAACAATAATCAATAACTTTGAGAAGGTAATTAGTTTTTTACAAAATTTTATAGTGCCGAACAGTTTAATAAATTATTAAATTTTCACGTCACCAAAATCGACGGCAAAACACGTGACATAAGCATTTCGGAGACTAGGGACCTATGATCTTTTCCCCATCCAAAATTTCCAAACGGGCATATGGAAGTTTTCGCTTAAAAATACGTTATTTTTGATTAATTTGTTATTTAACTTAACGAACGCACAATGCCCGATTTCGGTAGGTACTTTAGAAATTACAGAACACCTGTCAGTTTTGAAAGTAAATTTTTAATATTTTCCTATGTTTAAAACAAGGATTTAACCACGCCGTCATTGTTGGGTTCGACTGCCAGTATTCACTAAATGTCACTGACGTAAGCGTAGTAAAATAGTTCAGCAGACCTTATCAATCATTATAAACAGCCGAGTCAAATAAATCAACCGGTTGATTTATAATGTGGTAAATATTTTACGTTTGATTGAATTGTACTTCCAATCGATAAAAAAAGAATAATCAATATTTATTTGGAAACAAAATAATTGCACGTAACGATAATACTTACATTAGTTTACCACGAAAGGATAAAAGGGCTAAGATATTATAAACAAAGCCTGTTTATAATAAAAACTTAATTTTTATTTTATTTTTATACAAATGCTATATATTTTTATACAGGTAGGTAGGTAGGACTTATATAGTTCCTAGCATAGCAGTATTTTTAAAAGTCCTAATCCCTTTAGATGTGAACACCATATTTAAGTAATACCTAAACGTTAAAAATACGAAATATAAAACACTACCGACGGCATGAAAAAGACAGATGTCGTCAACATTTATAGTTCTCTTAAAACCGTGACTTTCTTAAGGTCCGTTATTATTTTAAGAGCAGAGAATATTGTCTGTGTGGTTATGCTGTTTTATAAAACTAACAAGGACTGATCTTTTGTTACCACTACTTATAATGACTAATCAAATAATATCAAAGGATGACACTAACAGTTTTTAAAACTGGCCAGTTAGAAACATTGCCAAAGAAAACTTCTTTTAAATTTTGAATATAGAACTCTTTAGTAACATAATGTTACCAAAGAGTTTATTTTTGTGAATTGGCGGCAATTTCAAAGTCTTCTTACACCTCAAAATGAATTTAATTCAATAAAATATATTCAATTCGTAATATAGATTTATTACTACTTTCGTTGTGCTCTTTCTCAACAAAAAAGCTATGATAGAAGTTTATCATATAGCCCCATCCGTGCCACTGTTTACAATGGGTTTAATAAGTTTATTCGTGGGCAGATCATCACTGAGATTACTATTCCAGTGAAGGTCTGCGGAAGGAACGTCCTTCAACCGCGAAATCTGAAGATGACATCAGTGCTTTGGGACGCATGATAGAGGAAGACAATAGAGTGACCTTCCAACAGATTAGGGTAAGCCACCATTTAGGCGTCAGGGGCTTTTCCCCAGGAAGGACTCCCCATACTTTAACCGAAGATAAGAAATGCTACCCATGGATTGCTGTCGCGAAATGTTGTAAGAGTTCAACGGAAGTAATTCTAATGATGTATTTCACATCGTCACAGGTGATGAAAACTGGATATATTGCTACTAACCGGAAAACAAAATCTGCTCAGTGGATGTTTCCTTTTGAGGATCGGCCAAAAAGATGATTGCCTCGTTCTTTGGTCGACCTAAAAACCGATGGCTTCATCATTGTTCAAGTGTAGTAGTACCAAATATCTTGACACATGATTACGTAATTACAATACAAGACAAAAGAGCGTTTTCTTTCCATAAAACTAAAAAAAAAAATACACAAGACAATCAAAAACCATCGCGCATGTAACGAAATTATTTTAAATAAACTTTTATTATCATTTTTAGATACCGAACAACAATATATCGTAAGTAAAATATACCCATTACTAGTACGAGCACGAAACCTTCACCTACATAATACCGCCGTCTAGAAGACATCCTTAAAAATGATCTCGGATAATAGCTACTGTACTGCGATCCGCCCTAAATATATCTATTATGCCCCGTATCAGGTTCATAACAGGAAAGCGTCGTAAAAGTAAACAAATTTTTCGAGGTGGGGTCTCAAGTAGCGAGCGTGGCAAATATAAATTTTCGTATATTTTTGTACATGAAAAAATTTTCTACATATTTATACATGAAGTGAAACTTCTTGCGAGTATACATTTTTAAGCACATTACGCCTACAGGGGAGTGTGAGATTTGGCAATGTTAAATTTTGTATAAAGATTTAGCTAAAATGTATTTATTTCAAATATCAATTATGTTAAATAAATCTAGTATTTACGTTTTGTTATACTCGAACCTTGTCTGCTAAAGCGCTGTCTTTTCTCTTACTCTTCTGATATGATAGATTTCATTGTAATATATAATCGTGTATATGACTAGGCATGAGATATACCTGCAACATTCTATACCCGGCCTCAGGTACGGGTATCGCCGTATACCCGGTGCTAAAACCCAGTATCAAAATACCTATAGGTATTAGTTATGTTCAGGCCTTTTGGAGACGCGGTCGAATTAAACGAATTGAACCTTTGGTTGAAATTGGAACATTTAAATGTATTTTTTAACAATCAGTTTTTTTTAATTGAGATTTAATCAGTCTAAAATAAGCTCCATTTTTATTAACGTAAAGAACCCTATTATCAAAAAAAAGTAATTCAATTTTTTTATTAATTAATTTAATAATCAATTTAATAATCAATTTAATTAATTAAATTATTTATTTAACTTATGGTCTTTCTATGACCATAGAATAAATTTATCTCAAGGAATTATTTGGTATAAAATGCCTAAATCATACGTTTCAATTCGGGCATGATCGGGAAGAGCCGCCGTAAGCGTTCGGGGAACTTCGTACCTATTCGGCCGGCGGGTTGTCGCGAGCGTATATACCGCCACCGTTGGACGAGGCGGCCATACTTATCGGGTATGGAACGGGCATCTGCCGTACATACCCGGTGTGCGTACTGGTATGTTCATACTGGGTATTTATACCTGTTCCAGTATATACGCCTCATCCCTATATATGACATACGTCTGTGTACTTTGTCTTTTATTGGGTGAATAAAAAATTGTTTAATTTTAAGGTCTTTTTTAAAGAATACATATAAAAGGTCCACTGTAACCCTTTGCAATTCCAATATCAAAGATATACGTCAAACAATGGTATTATTGACGTATATCTAATGGATGAGTATGAGAGAGAAAAAATGGAGTAATGAAAAACAAGACAAATTGAATGATTTTCAGTTTTTCCAAAAAAAATTCGATCATTGAATGACATGAAATATTTAAGTCTTTAGCTTTCCTTCCTTACACATCACTGAAACGTGTGAAATTGTAATTGAAGAGATACAACGGGATTAAAACATAATATAACACAAACTAATAGTAGTAGCATAAACTATGTAAACTGACGTTTGTAGTTTACAACACTCTAGCTATGGCATCCAAGAGTAGCAGCATGATTGATTACCAGTGGTCGAGCAGCCTGGAGTCTCCCATCTTCTCCATAAAAAACTGCCAATGTAGGAAACCACAACTGACATTAATGAAAGGAACTAAAAAGGTAGGAAAATAAATTAAAACTAAGGTGAATGTTGGTTAGGACGTGTGGAAATGACTCTTGCTCTGCATTTGCAAGTCCCCTGGTTGCTGCTCCATTTATATTTGAATAGTTTTGTAAAGTTATGTAATTAAAAAAATAATAAGATAACAAACCCCCCGAATTTCATGCCGGTTCTTCTCTGGACAGGTGTAGTTTAGTGAACCGGTAGTTTTCAATAAAATAATGCAAAAACATAACATAATTCAACAATATCAATATAAATGTCTTGTAAACCTCTCGATATACGATAAGAAAGATTGTATTCAATTTTGAAATAAAATTACCACATCCGATGCTTGATTTGACAGGCGGTGATTTAAGTCTACGTATTATATATTAAAATCGGAGCTGCCATGAAATGCAATTCGACGCTACGTCGGTTCCTCGAGCATAAGCAACTGCAATCAGAACGCTGCGATGCAATGTATTCATTGAATTAAATCGAGTAATTCTGAGATCGTTCAGAAATACGACAACTTTAGAAATTTTTGCAACTGAATTTTAGATTTTTTACTAAGAAGATTACAAAGGAGGATCTCAATTTCTTTTTTGTTGGAAAGGAGATATTTCCAATAGGGTAAGATCTATTTCATTGGAATTGGACCTTGGATTACGAAGATATATCAGGGAAATCAAATTTGAATAGGAAATGTATAGCGAGTGATGACAGTTTTATTTTTTGTTATTGAAAATGTTATTATCTTAAGAATAATAAAAAATCAGCGGTTGGATCACTGATGGTAATTGATTCTCGCCGACCAAGTTTGCAATGCAAATCGTAATGCACATCGTAATGCAAAATTGTGATTAAATAAACACTGCCCTCTTATATGTGGTCGTGTTCGTGGGTCGAGCATGCTGATCCTTGCAACTGGATAGTCTGCCGCGTTCCTTTGCTTGACTATTATTATTACATTTATTCTTTATGGTCACAGCAACAATCCTTTTCATTAAAAGGTGGCAACGCAGCTGCAACCCA